AGACTTATATTTTGGAATTCATCTTGTTTTGGGGACTTATTGTATCCTTCTCTTATAGCATGTCTCTCTCTCTCTCTCTCTCTCTCTCTTTTGAGCCACCACACCATAACCTACTGGGCTAAGGCAATCCTGCCTCAGCCTTCCAAGTAGCTGGAACTACAGGTGTGAACCACCATGCCCGGCTAATTTTTTGATTTATTGCAGAGACGAGGTCTCACCAAGTTTCACAGGCTGGTCTCAAATCCCTAGTCTCAGGCAATCCTCTCGTCTCGGCCTCCCAAAGTGCTGGGTTTACAGGCGTGCGCCATCACACCCAGCTGCATATATCTCTTTAATCAGTCTTTTTACCTATGAAACTTTGTCCCATATATATTGGTGTTCATAAATTATTTCTGATTATTACTATATCAGTGGTAAATTCCAATAAGTAAGCCTCCAAATTAACAAGGCATCTGAATCTAGACTGTACGATTTTGAAATTATCCAAATATTCAATCTTCTGTCTTTACCTGAAGAGATGCTGATATGGATAACCTAGAATACTTATGCAGGAACTCCCAAGACTTTGCATTTTGGCTACAAAGTATTTTTTTCTCTTAGGGCTAGTAATATATCTGTTGTCATAATATTATGTTACTATAACATCATTATTATTTTTTTTGAAAGGTATAATTATGGTCTTTATTTTTTTCCCTTTCTCTTTTTAAATTATAAAGATGTGGGGTACAATTCAGGGATAGGTATACAAACGTTGATTACACAGGTACCCTTGTTGATGAGATGTGCCCCTCCCTCCCCTGGCAATTTCCCTCAACTGCCAATTCCACCTCCCTTTCCCCTCACAGTTTCCCACTACTGCCAATCCCTTTCTTATAGTATTATAATAATTGTTCAAGGTCCGCTTATGAGTGAAAACATATGGTACTCTGTTCTTTGTTTCTGTGATATATCACTGAGTATGATCGACTTTAAATCCATCCAAGTTGCTGCAAAGTCTATATGTTTGTATGTTACTATAACATTATTAGGGTAGCCCACCTTGCTGGCATACTTTTGAGTTTGCTCCAGATGCACTGTTGGATTTTCAGACCTTTGAACAAAAATCTCATGACTCTTTTTTCTTTTCCATTTCCCAGTGTGCCACAGGTTTCTGTGCACAGGCTACTTTGTCCATCTTCACTGGCAGGCAGAGTGACTCACGGCCAATCATTTGACTTCTGGCCATCTTTCACTTTCTACCCACAGCATAAGGACTGTTGTCACCACTGGTACTTAAACCAACACCGATGGTTAAAGGGAAAGAAGTAAGAGGGTATTTATGAAATAAAACCATAGAAACAGAGGCAAGTGTTAGGGTCTGTGTTGATATTGAAAGTTTGAAGAAATTAAAAATAAATTGTGTACCATTCTAGAATGTTTCACCCAGTGCCATTAAGTGATATTTTAACAAGTATTTTTACATAATAATGTAATAATTTACTAGGATGCTGACCTTTAACAACATTTTTAACAATAAATATTTTTGTGTAGCAAATTTGGCCCAGTTTAGGTGGGGGATGTTCTAATTTTTAAAAAATTCTGAAAATTTAAAAACAGAAACCCAAACTTCTATGAGAATTTACATATGAGAAACTTGGTATTTTCTATGTTAAGATTTCAGTCCTCTTTTGCCTCTGTCCTAGTGACCTAATTACCTCCCATAGGTCCCATCTCCTAACAACATGGCATTGGGGATTAGGTTTTAACATAGGAATTTTGGAGAGTGCAAACATTCAGATTATAACAGTCTGCTTAAATTTTCTTACATTCAATCAAACCTGTATTAGATTGTGTACAACCTGGTATGATTGAATAGTATTTTCTGTTGACACAGTAAATAATTTCAGTGTTCTTTTAAATCAAATTCCAAAAAGTAACTTTACATATAAATTTGGTTTATGTGTATATTGTTGTCATAAGCTACAGTATATATATTTAATAATGGTCTATGTAATTTAGGTTTAGCTTGATATACCACATATTATCATTTATGTCAAAAAGTTGTTTAAAAGAGAGTATAAGTAGCATATAAAAGTCTATTCTGGGCCAGGCTTGGTGGCTCAGCCTGTAATACTGTGCTTTGGGAGGCCGAGGTGAGTGAAGTGCCTGAGCCCGCGGGTTCGAGATCCGCCTGGGCAACGTGGTGAGATCTCATCTCTACAATAAATCCAAAAAAAAAAAAAAATTACCTGGCCATGGTAGCACGCGCCTGTAGTTCCAGCTACTTGGAAGGCTGAGGTGGAAGGATCACTGGAGCCCAGCAGGTTGAGGCTGCGGTGGCCAGGAGCGGCCACTGCACTCCAGTCTGGGCGACTGAGTGAGACTCCAATTCAAAAAAAAAAAAAAAAGTCTGTTCTGTTGAGCATGAAGAGGAGTTATTGTAATGGTGTATAAAGTGCTCATAGAGGTAATTCTCTTTCCTACTTTCCCCTGAAAGTACAGAAACTGTACCTTGAGAATTCAGAAATTGCCAGTACTATCCACACAGTTTATGATTTATAGCAGGAACTACAAAAAGCCTTAATGTGAATTACCCACTTGTTTTAATAATTTTAGATTATTCTGAAAATCACATTTGAATAGCATTAATAAAATGTTCATAAGTAACACATTGCAATACTCTGAAACTCAGAATAAGTTCCTATACTGAGGTTTTGGGATGAGTAGTGCCTAGGTCTTGGTTTGAATTGCTCAGCTATTTAGGGCTTAATGCTAATCTAGCCACCACTATTCCATACAAGCCAATCATCTTCATTTAGTCTCAAAAGCATGAACTTCATTCTTAACTGAAAAGAGTAGCTGATCAAACTAACAGCACAGAAGAATACTGCCAGATGTGTTCACACCCAACTGCATTGCCAAAACTAACACACTAGGATTATCCCCAAATTACTTATCTCCTAATGTACAAAGGAACTCTGCTCTTCTTTAGATGGTATTATGAAGGGTAATGATACAAATGTAATAAAAGTGAAATGAAAATCCTCCATGATTTTGTGAGGAAGTTTACCTCAATCAAACTTGTTTGAACAAATTATGTTTTGTTCAATAAACTAAGCAATTTATTTGTAGGAAAATTCTTCTTTAGAAAAAATAGTTTATTCCATTGGAATATTTTTCGATAATAATAAACAGTAGTTTGTTATTATTATTTCAGAGATATTAGTGTATATACATGCTAGTCATTATGCTAAGAGTTCTTTTTTTTTTTTTTTTTTTTGAGTTGGAGTTTCACGCTGTCGCCCAGACTGGAGTGCAGTGGCCGCTCCTAGCCACTGCAGCCTCAACCCCCTGGGCTCCGGCAATCCTTCCGACTCAGCCTTCCGAGTAGCCAGAATTACAGGCATGTGCTACCATGCCTGGCTGATTTTTTTGATTTATTGTAGAGATGAGTTCTCACTGCCCAGGCGGGTCTCGAACCCGTGGGCTCAGGTAATCCACTCACCTAAGCCTCCCAAAGGCACAGGATTATAGGCTGAGCCACCGAGCCTGACTCTAAGAGTTCTGTATAGATTATTTAATTTTATCTTCACAATTATCTGATGTGTAGGTAGCATATTATCCCATATTAAAGATGAGACTGATAGCTAAAGGGGTTAAACAAACAAAAATCCTCTCTGACTGAATCTACATAGCTACTAAATGAGGTATCCTGAACTTTTCCCCAAGTCAAACTGACTGCTCTGCCTCACTCCAAACACCTGTGCTATGCAAATACAACAATGTCTTACACAATTAAAATAAGATTAAGAATTAAAGGAAAAAGAGTTTTGTTTATGTCTAAAACTTATTACACTAGTTAAGACTCCACTGATTGGTCAATAAAGGTAGAAAGCTATTGTGGTTGATTTTTTTCAAATATACTTCAAAACAGACATATAAATCCAAATAGGTAAAAAGTTTTCTGTGTAGTTGTTGACTAAAATTATTAGATACCTTCAGAACATTCAAGCCAGATGTGAGTTCTGAGTCTTAGCTGTGGAACACTGAAGAATGAAGCCTTATACATTGATATTTCCATCTGCACTTCTACTATTTTTGTCAAATGACTGACACCCTTAGCATAGCCTCTCCAATATAAGGGGGAATTTGTTAGTGAGTTCATATTGCTTGTCCTAATTCAAAAGGTCACTAATCTATCATGTGCTCCATAATCTCATTACACAGCAGGAACCTCTCTCCAGTTGTTAAAGAATCAGTAGGACTGATTGGCCTATTGCATGGGGCAATCAGGCATTTGTTTCCTGGCCCATTTACAAACCTGCATGTTAAGACTATTTTTTTAGTGTAGGAGGTCCGTTTCATCTGGAAAGTCTTTTAGACAACCCTACCCTAAGAGGCCTCCATGCCTGATTTGTGTAGGTAGTTCTTAAGCACCAGCAACAGGTGGTAAACTTACACTTATTTAGACAAAATGCCTTATTCAAATAGAGAACTACTGCTGGAATAATTTTCTGAATCACTAGCCATCATCCAATGGAAAAGTGAAGTCGTTGCCCCCCCCCCCCCGCATTGCTTCTTCCCAGTAATCATTTCAAGGGATGACTATTATTTATCATTTGTCCACATGTGAAGACAACTAGTTGAATGGAAATATTGTTTTCCTTTGCAGAGTAATTAATTTTTCTTTTCAAAAAAGGCTACAGGAGATGATTGTAGGCTGCTTATATAACAATGTCAATAACTAAAAACTTTATATATACCAATACACACATTTGGATTATTTTGAGCTTTAGATATGATACTATTGGAAATGACTTACAATCTTTTGCGGTTTTTTTCCCCCACACCTGCCCTTTATTGGGCTCTTCCAGCAGGGTGGCCCGGGCCCTTCACGCTTCTCAAACACCGTCCACGGGGTTCAGGAGGTTGCCGTCATTCTGTGAAGGCCCAGAGCCCAAGAAGAAGCAGGCAGGGGGAAGGCAGGGCCCTCAGTGAAGGGGACCGATGTCTAGGGAGCCTTAGCGCCCGCGGTGTCTCCGGAGGGCCCGCTGAGCCCTCCGCAGGGCGCTCAGGACCAGGCAGGGCAGACCCGGGCGCAGAGCAGCCTGGTCTGTGTGGCAGCTTTGAGGAGGCGCTTGATAGCAGGCTGGAAGGTGATGGTGGGGAAGGTGCGGCTCTAGCGCAGGAAGGGCTCCCCCTCCGCCCGACGAGGAACTTCTCGAATTCCGGGCCACATCCGAGCGGTGCACCGGACTCCAGAGGATGAACTTGGGGTCGGTCATGAGGGGCTGCGGGTCGTCCTGGGGGTAGGGGAGCTTGTCCTTCAGGGAGGCGAAGACGGGGTGCTTGTTCTGCCCCTTCACATCACACTTCTGGAGAAGGGTGAAGATGGGCTGGTACCTGACCCCCGGGCGGGCATACTTGAGACTATTCAGGATCTCCTCATTCTGACAGTTCTCCTGATGTCCAAATTGGTTGCCAGGGAAGCCGAGGACCACCAGGCGCCCGGGGAAGCGGCAGAGCAGCTCATTGAGCTGCGTGAAGTCCCGGGTGGTCGTGCCTCCGAGCGAAGCCACGTTCTCGATCGGTACCGCCCGGCCTTGGAACGTGTTGAAATCCTCCTTCTCCCCATCCAGGCCGATGGCACTGAGGTCGTAGAAGGACTTGGCGATGAAAGCCGTGGCGCCGCCAGAGTGAGCCCTGCTCAGCGACTGTCTCCGTTTTTGTTTTTTTAATAAATTGCCACAGCCCTACTCCAATTTATATTTTCCTGAATGTCTGAAGTGTCTGCATGATTGCGGTTGCTATAGAAAATTTTATAGTACATTATACTCATTCTAAAAACTTAATGCCATGCCGCGTACAGTTCTTCGATGCTTGTCTAAAGCAGACATTTAGAAACCATAAGTTAAATTTCAAACATTCAAACCAGCTTTATTACCCATGAGGTAGATTTGGATATTTTTATGTGTGTGTCAGGATCTGTGGTTGCAGTCTATGTTCCAGCGAAAGAGTCGAGGGTCATGTGGAGACTATCATGATATGGCCTAATGTATATTTCAAATATCATTTACATTTCGGTTTAGTATTTTAGAATTAGAGTGATATTAGTGTGCACTTTAGAATGTTTACTATTTTAATTGCTGTCTCTAATTTGTTTCAATGTGATCAATGACCAAAGATTTTGAATCTCATTGTATTTCTTAAATTTACCAGCTATATAGCTCTTTGTATATTTCTATATAAATACATATCACTCTTTTGTAGTTTATTCATATAAGATATTTTCTGTACCTTTTTTGCAACATCCAGAAGAGCCTATTTTAGATAGAGGATATTATATGCTTTATGAATTGCAGAAGTGAACTGTTGTAAAAAATTCGATAAGCTGAAAATATATGGTCCAGTATGGGCTTTCTAGAACAGTTTTGATACAAATAATTACATCACAGCAGTGATTAATACTTAGACAGATGTGGCTGGCTATGTCTTTCAATATATTAATGTTTACGGATGTAAAAATGATCTCTTGGACCTGTTCAATGGCAACTGTCTTGCAAACATTTATTTACTAATTATCCAATAATTTAAGGCTAGCTCTGATATTTAAAGCTCTGATATTTAATAATAGGATTAATATTTTGTCTTTGCTCTCTACCAGTATAGTACTAATTTGATTTTTCCTAGGTCTATCATGATGACAAGTAATTATGTCTGTTGACCCCAAAATGACCTTGAGGAAATTATGTATTAATACCAATTTAGGTGACAGATGACAAGTGCCTGTGTTATAGCCTACTAAAAATTTTAGTTCTACAGTGTAATAGCTACTTGCAATCTAAAATTCTAAAACTGAATATGAAATTTAGTACAAATATATCTAGTACAACATATGTATACATATTTGTGTGAATGTATGTGTGAGCCAAATATTATCTTTGGATATTGTCAAATAATTGAAAAAAATTTTCTATGTGTCTTAAATGATAGCATTTGCTTATCATTTATTAAAGGCCTCAAATCATAACTGCAGCCAACATTTCAGAAAAGAGAATATTTGATAATAGTCATTATTAAAACAGAAATTCTTGGAAAGGTAGATTTCAGCATTGCTTTCTTACAAAACAGATGGTACTTTTTGAATAATTTTCTTTATTCCCTGTGTCTAGTCAAGTTTTGTATTACTTTAATGATGTGCATTTGTCCTTTTCCATTGTAAAAAAAAAAATTGCTTTTTGCCACAATCAGAAAATATTTAGTGTATTTTGTGTTGCCATTTTCTCAGTTGAGAGGAGATGGAAGAACAAATAAACTGATAAATAGTAATATATGATAATAGTAACAGATTATTTTCATCTGCTGGCAGTTATATGTAAGTATTTTTATATTTAATTTTAAAAGTACTTGAAGAGTAACAGCAAATGTGAAGTTCAAAATGTTTACTTATGAAAAATGATATTTTTGTCTCATACAAATAGATTTTCTCAGTGTAAATTTAGAAGTGGGACTGCAAAGTAGATCTCAAGGCTATTTTTAGTAGACTTTGTATGAATTCTTGCTAATTTTCAACTGAATACTTTTGAGTTAGTTTAGGTTACAATGGAAAAATATTTGCTTCTTTATTTCATTAGATGGTTCAAATCCCACCTTATATGTGGAACACTCCCCACTTAGCTGATTTTAAAATACTGTTGTTTTATTTTTGGAGTTGACCTAAAACATCAAACAGAAATCTAATTTTTCCATAAGCATAAAAGAACAGGTTTTTGTTTGTTCTGTTTGTTTTTTATAAAGATTTTTCCCCCATTGAAAGTCATTTTTGGAAATTTTAGTGACACAGTTCAGTAATTGCTGGATTACTTATAGATGTTAAATATCTATAGCGATGATTGTAGAGAAATTTTTCCTCATTAATTTTTTAGGAACTTGAGTTCTTTAGAGTTTGATATAACATAAAGGCATTTTGCTATGAGATTAGTAGTAGAAAAAGGTCCTTTCCACCTATCTCTTCATCTCTCTGTATAGTTTAAGCTCTCCCAAGAGTACTCTGTGGACTTATCATGATGATGGGTTTTTGTGTCTGTTTTAATCATATTTACCATATGCAGGTGCTGATTGTTCTGTGAGCATACACATAACAGCAGGTGGTGCCAGTCAGGATTCAGCCAGGATTAAGGAAGCTGGTTCTGCATTCCACAGTGCACATAGCCACCTTTTGTTTTTCCCATGACAGAAATCCCTCTCTCTCCCCACCTGCCAGCCCAGCTTATCCACCTCGCTCTAGGAGTTCAATTTGTGGTGGTGTGCTTTGTGATGAAGTACCAAACGCCCTCTCTCTGAGAAAATTCAAACTATTGTGCAAATGATGGCCATGCATGGCTCTTTAAGAAGTAAATTTTAACTTTTAAATTTTAGCTTTTAAGAGCTTAGTCAAATAACAGTTTTCTTGTGCATCTGTAGAATCCCTAACAAACATGCTAGAGTTGAAATTTAAACAAATATAGCACCTCTCAAATTTTACAGCATCGTGTAGATATCACCTATTTTATGTGTAAAATAAAGGTAATAATATTTTTGTTATTGCAAAATCAATATATATGTGAGTATTCTCGTGTGTGTGTGTGTGTGTGTGTGTGTGTGTGTGTGTGTGTGTGTGTTCATGCAGGTGATTTTAATATTAATTCATACTAGTTTTTTTGGGTTTTTTTAAGAAATAGAAGTAGCTTGAAATTTCTGGATCCAACTCTTTTATTCTACACGAGGAAACTGAGACCCAGAGAAGTCAAGCACCTTGACCAAAGTCATGAACGTAACGTAGTTAGTGGCAGACATGGGCTCAGATTCATGTCACCTGATTCCTAGAACAGTGATTTTTCTATGACTCAAAGTAATCTTAAAATCAAAGACTTGCTATGAGAAGGAGGACTTAAATGTTCATTTTGAGGGAAGTACATTTTACAAATTCCCCTGATCTACTGTATGAAGGAGACAGTGAACTTGACAGTAACCACAGCCAAGTTTCTAACACCAAATGATGTAGTAACCTTTTATCTACACGCTATTACACAAAAACTAATTTCCCAATATTTAGTAATCAATTGCTTCATGAGAACTTGTCAAACTGGGGCTCTTAAACCAGAGCTGTCATTTAGCTATGAATTATGAAAGGGAAACTATTTTGCTGTAGTCACTACTCTGATTCCCTGTGTAATTAGATGGCTTTACCTATGTTCAGGTATATAGTTTATGATACCTTAAGCCCTTATTTAATTAGAACTATAAAACAGGCCAGGCATAGTGGCTCACCCCTGAAATCCCAGTGCTATAGGAGGCTGAGGTGGGAGTTTGAACACAGGAGGTCGAGGCTGCAGTGAGCTATGATTGTGCCACTGCCCTCCTACTTGGGTGACAGAATAAGACCTTGTCTATAAGAAATTTTTAAAAAGTTTAAAGGAATTTAAAGCAAAATCAAAAGATAATTGAAATCAAAGTATCAAAAGGAAATATGTGGGTTTGTTGAACCATTAATACACATCTTATAAAAGTGCTTGGTTTTATTTAACAATGTGTATGTAGTTTTATTTTACTTTTTTAAAATTTAAAAGATGTGGGGCAAATTCAGGATTAGGTATACAAAGGTCATCATATACGTAAAGTTTTGGTCTACCTTTGGTTTCCACTTTACCTGGTTTGAGATCAGGTACCCTTATTGATGTTGTATGCCCACCCACCCCTCCCTTGGCAGTGTCCCACTACTGCCAAAGCCTTTCTTTTAGTACTATGATAAATGTTCAGGGTCTGCTTAAAAGTGAGAACATGTGGTACTCAGTTCTTTGTTTCTCTGATAGATCACTGAGTATGATAGGCTCTAAATCCATCCAGTTGCTGCGAAGTCCATAATTTTGTCCCTTACGGCTGCACAATATTCCATCATGTATATGTACCACATTTTAAAAAATTCAGCCCACTTTTGATGGTCAGCACAGTTGGTTCCATGTTTTTGTTATTGTGAATAATGCTGCAATAAACAGGCATGTGTATGTATCTTTTTATAGAATTATTTTAGGTCCTCCAGGTATATTCTCAAAAGGGGGATTGCTGGGTCATATGGCAGGTCAATTTTTAGATCTTTTAGGAATTGCCACACTGTTTTCCACAGAAGTTGTACTGGTTTATACTCCACTAACAGTGTAGAAGTGTTTCCTTTTCCCCGCATCCTCTCTAACATCTGTTGTTTCTTGAGTTATTGCTGATGGCCATCCTAACTGGAGTTAGGTGGTATTTCAGCATGGTTTCAATTTGCATTTCTTTGATGATTAGTGAGGCTGAGCATTTTTTCACGTATCTGTTGGCTGCTTGAATGCTTTCTTTTAAGACGTGTCTATTCATATCTTTTGCCCACTTTTTAATAGAGCTGTTTGTCTTTTCCTTTTGGCACATTTGAATTCCTTGTAGATCCTTGATGTTAGGCCTTTGTCAGATATACAGTTGGCAAATTTTTTTCCCATTCTGTGGACTATCTCCCCATCCTGTTGATGGCTTCTTTTGCTTTGCAGAAGTTTTTCAGTTTGATAAGGTGCCACTTGTCTAGCTTATCTCCTGTGGCATGGGCATCTGGAGTTTTGATCAAGAATAGATTGCTTGTTCCAGTTTCCGTAAGAGTGTTCCTGCATTTTCTAAGATTCTTATAGTTTGAGGTTTTACATTTAGGCCTTTGATCCATTTAGAGTTGATTTTTGTGTAGAGTGAT